TTTTACACGTAGAATTGCATTAGAAAATATTACATATGTCTTTTATTACAAAATGTATTTAATTACAAAACCGGGTAATAAATTATTAAATAATCACAATAGATTTATGCACTTATTGCCCGGTTTGCAAATATATAAATGCATTCATGATCCTTGCGTTAAGGAAAATAATACGTAATATAATGAATCACGCAAAGGATTTTTTTATACTGGAAATTGAAACAGAAGACGATACGTGATAATTGAAATACGTGCCATACTCTTTATTTCTATTTGTTTTCTCAATCTTCGATTTGACAAAATTTATCTTATTTAGTCATTTTTGTAAGAGATTGCGAAAGCAAATAATCTGCCACATAGTCGTTGATCACATATAAAAAATATACAACCAGCGACAGACAGCTGGAAGACCATAATTATATCTGTTATTTAATAATTTATTATATTTTTTGCGTTATAAAGAGATAAAGAAATGTATTAACAAAAAATATTGATTGGCTATTTATTACTTTAATTAAAAAAGAAATATTGTAGATATTAATTTCAAGGACTTCCATCTAAAAACTGAAAATCAAAGAACATAATCTCTTAAAGGACCTTGAAAAAATATTGTTGTTTTTTCATCAATTAATAGAATAGAAGTGAAAATGAAAGTATGTATTATATATATTTAAAGTATAAAGTATTATATTGGAGATCTCCGATTTTTTACATTTATCTTCATTCAAAGTTATGTTCTATCCAATAATTTATGCAATTTATCAGTCTTATATTTTTATCATTTTCTCGAGCGAGATAAATATCTCGTTTTAGGAAATGAGCGTGTAAGATTTTATAGAAAGAAACAAACTAAGATAAACTTCGTTATAAACATTGATCTTAAATTCTATCCTTGCATTCCTGATATGATATACCATAATTATTATACTAAAAATATATTTTATACTATACACTTAGAACTAATTAATGTAGAATGCGTTAGTCATTGAATTGATAAAGCAGGCGCATTGAATTCTATCTTTAACGCATTGTCAGTGTGTAACGTAATCAATTCCAAATTGAATGTCTTAAGAATCTATTAGATAAAACTTTCATACATCGTTTCTCTATTTATTAATAATATCAACATTACTTTCGTTTTTTTTTTCGCAATTTGCTATTATGCTTTCAAAATTTCTAGTTATCTCGGAAACTGTTTCTGTTTATTTCTCTGTTTTCTCTTTTTTCTTTCTTTTATTCTCTTCATCCGAGAAACGTCCGTAAATTCCCAAGAGGTTCAACACCATTTCTCCATTGGCACGGACGTTAAGTGCGCTCTTGGCTTAGGAGAGGGCCATCGCAGGGCGCTTTGACATGATTCTGCCCTGGAGGGCGTCCTTGGGGGTGGCTGCGGTGGACCGGCGTGAGACTCTTGAGAGTTCACGTTCCCGTTCCCGTTCATCTCAGGTCGCAATGCAGTCTTTTCTATAGGTGGATCACCTCGGTGGTTTCTCTTCGTCGGCTTTCGCGCTATATCATGCTGTGACGCGACTGGCGGTGCGCTTTCTACGGACTGAAGACTTGCTGCACGATGCAGGGAGAGCCGCAATGGTTTCTTCGGTGGCGCAGGACGAGTCTTCGCCTCTTGGGAATTGTACACCGCCGATATTTCTGAATTCTCCGACGTGCGAGACTGGGAATCCTAAATACGGAATGAGAGACATAGGTATACCGTATAGGCAAATAAAGTTTGGTGAAGCAGGTAAGTATAGTATACTTTGTAAAGTATTAAACATTATTTATTGTTGTTAAGTATAAAATATAGTATACTAAATTATAATATATATTGTAAAGTACTCGTACTTTTTGATTAATTTGTTTTATTTTGTCTACTCATTATAAAATAATAACTACTTAGTTTCAGCAATTTCTCATTTGTATGCTGCGATTATGTAAGCGATATAAGTACCTGCAAACGATAATAAGTAGGTTCGGAATCAAACTCCAGGGATTGTAATTGCGAGCCACTCTTGCGATTTTTGTGCAAATGTTCCATTGCAGACTCGACACGCGGTGATCTTCGACGCTGCACCTGCATCGGCGACTGTTTGCAATCGAGACTGGCTGTTGACCTGGCCAACTGGAGTCCTTGATGTTTTTGTCGGTTCCGGGACTTGTGATGACCGTTCGCTACCCCATCGGACGAAAAGTCGAACTCGCGCTGGTTCCTCGAATCCGTCAGGCGCCTGGACTGATCGCTATGTCTACTTCGGACGGTCGGCAGACTCTGCCGCAGTTCCGTGCAACTTCTCACATTAAGACCAGGTAGATTCGCCACAAGTGCCGTCACTTGAGGCCCCTTCTGAAAAACCTACGACATAAATTGGACAAAATTGAATTTCCAAATCAATATCAATTTCAATCGATTGCGAAAACCTAATTAAATAAAAATCCAATAGCACAATAAGTCATTTCTTTCAATTATATTCTTTCAATTCTATTCTTTGCTGCTTCGTTTAAATGTTATCTTCTAATAGTAAGAACTTCTTAATGAGAAATCTTCATTATCAAATATTTAAAATTTAAATATATATTATGATAAAATATATATTATGATAAAATTTAAATATATATTATGATAAAATATACATAAATTTTTACATAAAGATATCAACTATTTTAATATTGCTAAAAGAAATTTTTATCAAGACATCAACCATCAATTAGTATTATTGCTTTATTATGATGCACTAAATACAATATATGGCTTGATATTATTTATTTATATTCTTCTATGCTGTTTTTACGAAGTTGCTTTTGATATAAATTTTTTTAAATAACCATTTATAAATAAATATATTTATGTAATAGAATTAGAATTTTGAAATCGATCGAAACGCGACTGAACGAATCTGTCAATTCAAATGCTTCTCTGGAAGAGACAAGGTATGTTGATTTATCTCAATCCCGAATGTGCCAGCGTTACCTGCACATGTTCCTGACGACTTGGCGGTGGATCTTCAGTGGGAACTTCGGTTCTGCTCGGCGCCAAAAGATCTCTGACCTGTTCCTCGAGGTACCCGATTCTATGCGTCAGCCTGAGATTATCAGAACGCAGGGTACGCAACGCTGCAAGGGATTCTCCCTTTCGAAGGACCACTATTTGTGCGGCGTCGGGAGCGACGGCTAAAAGACGTGCCAGATCGCTCCTGCCTGCTCCTACCACAAGTTTTCCATTTACTTCTAAGATCCTAAAAGAATATTGACCAATAAGTCGTGCACGACTGTGCACGTGTTCTATTTAAATCTCGGACTTATTTTAGATTATCTATAATTCTAAGAATCTAACAATAAGATTTTATTTATTTAATGCGTCGCGAAATAATTTGAAGTACAAGTATACTGCTAAATAAGAAAATATATAATTATTTAAAATATAATATAATGTATATAATTAAAATATAATTAAAATTATAATTAAAATATAATTAAAATAAAATTAAAATTATTATACATAAATTAAAATGTGACATAAAGTTATAGATAAAATTACGTTTTAAATTCTGTTGTGAACTGTCTGAATCATTACATGACCTATAATTCATTTTAGAATTCAAAACAGAATTTTATTTGTAATTTTATATGTAGTACAGAAAACATTTGAATTATTTATTTAGGATATATACACATTAATGTAACATACACATAATTTTATACTAAAGTTTAACTCATTGGGTTAACAATTACTATGAAATCTGATATTATTATTTTATATTCTATGTAATTAAATTATAAAGCGAAATTATGCACAGGACTAGAATTTAATGACGCATACCAAATAGGAATGTGTGGGAACTGGAAAAAGACTATGCAAAGCAAAATACACATGTTATCTTCAGTTATTCCATGAGAAGTAAGATTTGAGCTAAAAATTAACTTTGATATTAAAAGAATCCTATTCTTCATTTATAAGAGCTTGATTTTAGTAGAATTTAATCCTTGTTACTAATCGTCAGGATATTTAACATCAAAAATTAACAGACAATAGAAAAAGAATATTTTAAAAAGAAAAATTGAATTATTGGTGAAACCGAATATTTGCTGAAGAAAAATCGACTTCACGTTGAGGAATATATTTAAAAAATTTGTCCAATAATTTTAAATAGCCAAAATTTATATGCTAATAGTATTAATTTATACATTCCACCGAATTGATCTTATATTAGACAATTAAATATGGTTCATACAAGCTTGTATATATACAAGCTCACTCGAAAATACGTCTCTCAAATCAAACGCCTTGAACCGAAAAATTTAACGCTCATTAATTTACGCGATTTTTGAACGACCGATGTAGGCGGGTAATACGCCAGAATACCGCTGATCGTACAATGAATTCCCTTGAGCGGGTATATACTGGTGGAAAATAGTAGAAGTAGAAGGTGGGGTCATGTGAAGTCGCGAGTGCAATTAACGGGGGCACACGGCGAACTTCCGGTACCGCTTCACGCTACAGCGACCCGTTGGGAACCGAATGTCAAGATTGCCGCATTGTTCTTCCCCGATAGCCACGTTACGTAGTACTACCATACCGTCATACACAAACACTATGATTTCCCGACACTCTTCCTTTACCCATTCCGTAACTAACAGGGCCTGTGTGCTCGAATTAATAGATTTCCCTGAATTTCGATTTTTTCAACTTTCTACATTCTTTGAAGTGGAATCTAACTGTAAAGAATGAAAATTGAGCCAGTCTTGAAAAAGAGATTTCTCTGAAATTTTTAAAGTAAATCTCATTCTACAAAGAACGAATTCTCACTCTTAAAGATTAAAAATTGAGTCTTTTTTTCAAGATTGACTTGATTTTCACTCTTTAGAGTGAGATTTCATTCCAAAGAATTTAGAGGGTTCCTTTCAGAATATTCGGTCGAATTCGAACGATAATTTCTACAGAAAGTATCAACATGGCAAGATCACAAATTGTTTCCGTTCGCTAATGTAATTTGAAAACTTTTGAATCACGAAAGTGTTATGCGGCTTCATGAATTATCGGGAAGCGACGTATTGTTCCAAAGCGTAAACTAGAAGAATGATATAATTGACGTCGGCAGAAACAGGCCTTTTTCCTCTCTTGTTAGATGATTAAAGAACGCGCGAAATGGAACGGTTTATCCCAACTCTCGTAGTTACTTGCACGACCCTCTCTCTCCATAGAAATGCGGTAGAGTATCCTTATCCGTGTGTTGTAACATTTCCGAGAGCAGTAAAACGAAACAGTCGACGCTCGATTTATAGTTCCGCGCACAGACAGTTTCATTGATGCTATCAATATGTTTGATTGACTTTATAAGCCTTAAACTTCAAAATACATCTTGAGCTGTTTCCAACAAAGACATGTTTAAATTTTCCAGAAAAAACTGAACGTCGTTTCCTTTGTAGTTTTAAAATGCTAAGATTCGATTTTTATTTTTTGAAATTCAAATTTTATTTACTTCATATGTGTACTTATATGTACTTTATTATATATAATTTGTTGAAAAATATTCTAAAATACATATATCTTTGTCTTTTTGGAAAATAAAATGCTTAATATATATTTATTTAACAGTTTATTTTAATTATTAATCGAAAGAAAAAATAAACAGAGTGAAAAATTGTAATATTATTATGTAATTTAATATTACATGATGAAAATACAAAATGCTAAAATACTTGGATAAACTTTACAAATTCCTTAATCAACGTTGAGTTTTTCTTAGCGAAAATTCGATTAAACATCTTTTTCTATTTAATATTTTTTTTAATTCTCGACGTTAAATAACTATTATTAACGATAAAAATTAAATTCCATTAAAGTATTATAAGATCTACTGTCAAGATTCTAAATGCAAAATAAAATCTTTTTAAAATTAAAATTTTTTTCGAAATTTTGACTTTAAACTTCTTTTGAAATTCAATGGATTTATCAGGCAAAGGGCAAAAAAATTTGGATTAAAACATCTGAAATATATAATCGCTTTTATATTTATCAAAGAGTGTATTTCTAAAATTCTAGCTCGAGATTGCAAATTTATCATCAAATTTTTTGATATGCGAATAGGATAAAAGAAATAAATAAACGTGAAAAAGATATCGTTACGCGAATAAACGAAATTCATGTTAGAACGCTATCACTATCCATCAGACTATCGACGAGGCGCAACCAGATGCAGCTGCACGATGTTTATTCGATGACTCGCGAATTCCGAACATGTTGCAGTGCACGACAATACGAACCTGTCTCCCTTACAAAGACCGGAATCCTCCACGGCCCAATCGACGTAGAGACCGATTGCATCGTCTCTAGGGCCTGCTCCAAAACGGGGACTTTTCGGATCCGCGCTGACTTCTACCGCATGAATCGTGACTTGCGTAGAACCAGAAATGCAACTGCAAGCAAGACGATGAATTTAAAAATTGATCAAAAAAACATGGCAAACAATGGTCAGTAAAATGTCTTTCAGTGAGGTTCAAAAGAAAATAAATAAAATATTAAGACAAGAAAATTGTTATAAAAAAATGGAAAATTCTACTAAATTCTTGCAAAAAGTTCAATTTTTAATTAAGCAAAAAACTTACGTTCTCATACCAAATCACTATATTTGTATATATATTAAAAATATGCAGAAAAATATTCTTTTATTTTGAACGTCAATTAACTCTTGTTTGGTTCGTAAGTAAGTAGAACAAACATAGTTTATTATCCTGAGTTTGTATGATGCTACAAGTTGAATTGCATGGTAATAATTAATTAACTGTCAAATAAAATGTATGCGAAAATATAGGCAATAAAATAAACTGAAGAACATGTACCTGTATATTGTATCATTCTTTTGTTTTTCTTGAGTTTCAGCCAATTCCAAGGCGGTTTGCAAAGCTCTGCTTTCCTCATGAAGAGTTAGTAGTTCAAGTTCCTCACGACCTAGTCTATATTCCAATTCTGCTTGCTGTATTCGAACATCGATGTTGCTGAAATCAGTGTTGCGTATATTTAAAACGCATTTATTTACGTTATAAAACTGGAAAATAAATAAAGCATAATTTTAACAAACGCTTCTCAACCTACATTTATTATAAATTTGTTATATTTCGCTTTTCGTTATTAGACATCCCTGATGAAAATAAAACATAAAACAAATGTCAATAAAGCGTTAATTGGAGTGTAAACAAAGTGTAAGGAGGGAATCACGGAAACCCGTAAGGAGGGAAAATTAGAACATAGAACGTAAAGGAAGCGTTAATTAAACGTTAAAGAAACATAAATAAGTATAGATAAGTTCTTCGGCAAACGCGAGCAAAATGTTTGTTGAATGTAAACAGAGCGTGATTAGGCAGTCTAGAGAATGTAAACGGAGCATTATCGAGTTCTTAGACGAACGTGAACGAAATGTAATCGAGATCCTTGGTAAGCAAATGATATTTTAAAATATATTTATTCGGTAAATATCTAAAAAAAGTGCTATGCTTTCTTCTTGGAGCTCTAGAAGCTTACTTCAAAAAATTATTTCATTAGAACACAACTGAAAAATCTTTCAATGCTACGTCTTTTATCTTAGTCTGTACGGTTTTTGAATTCGAGAAGTTAGTTCTCGCTAAGTTCCTCGTGGCGGTGCCACGTATTACTCAACGACGCTTCGTTCAATGAGCTGTACAGCTCAATGATGCTTCGTTTTAAAATAAATTTTTTTATTTCTATATCCTGGAAGCGTACTCGAAGTATATTTGAATGCTCCATGTACTTTTTGCTGAACATTTAGGAAGCGTAGACGAAGAACGAAAGAATGAAGTTTAGAAAGTGTATCAGTACGCTCCATGTATTCTTTGCGGAGCGTTGAGGAGTGTATGAGAAACGTTAATGAAAAAAAATATTTAAAATGTAGGAAATGTGACAGATGTGTTTCGAGTACACTTTACGGAGCGTTTAGGGAGAATTCGTGGAGCGTGTATGAATATTCAAAACCATTAAGAGTGGAATGTCAATGAAGTGTTTAAGAAGCGTTAAAATTCTTTGTTCACACTTCTTTGACGTTTCGACAAGCTTTATTATATATACATTTTCATCAGGGATTCTTTTAATATAAAAACTAGCTCTTTTTATTTAAAAACACAATTATTTTTACTGTTATTGTGAATCAATGTTTAATCAAAAAAAGTTTTCCATCAAATTTCCTGGATGAAAGTTAGATATCCATTTGAAATTTTGAAAAAATAAAATCTTAAATGAATTATTTTTTTGCTTAGTTATAATTTTATGTTCCGCAAATACTCGTTAATTACATCCAATAAACTTCTTTCTCTCTAGTCTCTTTACTATAAATTCCATCAATTATTTCATACAACGTCAATGTAAGATCTTATTTCTTAAATACATTTCGTGCACAAATTACTATTTTAGTAAGAATAATTTATTATAGTCTAAAGTAAATATTAAATTTGTTTTATACAATATTAAAAAAAAATTAAAATATATTAAAATATCGCAATAACAAATAATTAGAGAATTTTCTAGGAAAACAACTTATTTAAATTATTCTCTTCCCCTATCTTTATTGAATTACCGTAATGTATCTAATAACTAATTTTAATCAAGAAAATTAATAACTAAAGATATAAATTTAATAAATTAACACACTTTGGATCGATTACTTAAACATCACTATCCTGACCATTTTGATAATTATCAGCTGAGCATCAGATAAAGTGATTATATACGTCAGCCCTATATATGTAATGGCAATAATATTCCATTAAAGCGTGTTGCGATAATTACGTTGACAAGTTCGGTTTTTTGTCTATACTATCTTATAGACTTTGCATGTAGATTCCTCCGCGCTGCTGTGTTTATGGTGTACGTTCGTATAGGTATCAGTAATCGCGATTTACGATAAATGCGGCCGAATGAGCCCGCGGCGATCTCGCTCGTACTTACTCCGTGATATCGAGACGTTCGAGTGCGAGTTTCAGGTTCTTAATGGCCAGACGCTTATTGTCGGCGTCCCGTCGCAGTCTTTGAAGCCGCTCTTCGGCCGCTTTCCTGTCGGCCTCGGTCAAGGGTGGCGCGCCGTTGCGTAATGCCAGTCTGCCGCTCAGCGTGTTGCAAAGCTGGCCCTTGAGCCTGGAAAAAATAACGAGAAACACGAATGCCGTGACTCGAAGGAAGGAAAACACCTTCGCTACCTGCGGCTTCGCTCTTGAAACGCACGTTAAAATTCGAAGTTGATTTTTTTTCTATCACTGGAAATACTTGGGATTATCTTTTTCACAAAAAGAAAATCGCGCCTCTTGATTCTTAATTTCTTAATTTTGTAGAATTTAATGTAGAATGCTTTGTTTGTAACCGCATATTTTATTTTAAAATAAGAATATTTCTTTTTACAAATAAATTAAAGCTACACGGAGAGAATTTTTTTTTAGAGTTTATTCTGAAATATGGTAGTCGTGGGACATTTTATTTTAAAAAAATTTAATGTAAATCTCTTTCGTTCATTAATAAAATTACATAAAGTATAAAATAAGTTTGATTAATTTTACTGAAGTGCATCGTAAAAATCTTTAAAATATTGTATTACACAACTACCATATTTTCAGGGTAAATTTAAAAAAATTCTCCGTGAATTTTAACGAGTATTAAAATAAATAAATGTTAGTGAACATATGGCTCAATTGGATTGAAAAAATGAATTTATTTAATTAAAATCATATATATCATTGAAAGCTTAATATTTAAAATTTTTATCATTTTGCGCAATAATTGGATCATGTCCGCTAATTGTCTACTAATTGTTCACTAACTGGTACATTCATCTTACTGCAGAAAAAAAAAGAGTTTTGGTATGTCGAACGGATGAAATATTTAAAGAATATTTCCTCCGCAAAAAGTGAGCAAATTGAAAAAAACTAAAACAGAATATTAATGACGCATATTTTTCTCTGGAGAACGATTCATTTATGCATATTTATAAGCGACGAAAGCTAAGAAATGGTTCAGAAAAGCCTTAATGAACATGCTATTTCTAAATAGGAATTTTAGATCGCGATCATATTCATTTATGAAAATCTAGCTCTCGCATTTCTTTAAAGGAATATCAGGTCTGCTCATTATCTATCGTTCATTTGTTATTCCCTTGTGCTCAATCATTATAATAAAGGAATGAGACGTGATCAATAGCCCTCTCTCAGCCGTATCTCAAGGCTGTAATCAAGCAATTACTCACGTCTGTATGATGTTTTCTTTGTCGCGTAGAGCCACGCGGAGAGCATCCAATTCTTTGTAATGATCTCTGTTCCGGTGACCAGCGGGGGACGGGACACCCCCGGAAATACTGCCGCCTTTCTTCCGCCTTGGTGTCGTCGACAACGACACTTCTATACTGGCCATCTGCAATAGATATATAATTAAAAGTTAATGAGCCATAACAATATAATGGCAAGGTTCAATATCTCAACTTCAATTTGCATTTGCTTAAATTGAACACGTCATTGTTCAATTTGCGTTCCCTGATGTTAACTTAATTAAGTATATTTTATTTTCTTATATATTATAGTGCAATTAAAAATTATGATTATTAAATTATTATTATAATAAAATATTACTATCATCCTTTTCCTATATTCTCCAATTAAATATTTAATTAACATCTTTTATATATTATTAACATCATTAATATCTTTCATATGATTTTATGCTTTTAATCAAATGTAACGTTTAAAAATTTAAATGCATTAAATGTAGTTTTTAATCGTTATTAACAATAAATCTTTAATCAATTTTATATCTGATTGCAGATATTTATTTTTCCAGCTTAAAATATATCAGTTCAAATTTTGAACGAAATTTTTATTTAACAATGCAACATCTAACTTTATTATTGTTGTATATAGGAATGTTTGCGTTGAAAAACTAATGAAACAAGTTTTGGTTCTCCAGGATAGCAAGTTTATTTTTTTGAAGCATAGCTCTCTCGGGAAAAGTAACTATCATCTTCTTAAAATGGATGCATTATACATACATAGTCGATTTTCTCATGTGCGAACAAGCAGCGCAATTTACTTAACGACGAAGGGCATAGGTCCCCATAGGACGTCGTGAATAATTTCTTGAGTATGAATATTTATAAACGATCGAGCTTGTGGAAAATTATAATTCTGTCGTTATCCGTGCATCGTAATCTGTTGTTTCCCGCTGCGAGCATTTATAAAAAAAAAACTATAATAAATTGGAAAACTTTATTGCGATGCAAATCGAATAATACCCACTGACATTACGATGTAGGTAGCCTTTTGCAATTAGAAAAGAAATGATGATTCCCTATGGAAATGTTAATATAAAGTTGTTGCAAATAAATGAACTTTGAATAAATTGTGTCACGCACATGCAGGAAGATGAGAATGCAGCAAATTGAGGATGTGTCAACAAAATCATGTAATATAAAATATTATACTGAGAGAAATATTATACGTGAGAGAAAGATATTTAATATATTAATGTATGCTGTTTAATTTTATCGTCAAATCGTAAGAGATTAATAAACATTTGGGCACTTTTCAAACTTTTCATTTTTTTGCATATAACCATATAATGGATTTGTTTCTTATTCCTGCACTAGATTGCTAGAATTCTCTTTCTCATTTTCGACAAATATCAAACATATATCAATCTCACTTTAGATTCCAGAAGTGTACAGTAATTCAGCCACAAAACCAGATCTATTTTAAGGATTACGAATTAATGGAATTTAATTAAGAATTTTTAGGAATTAATTAAGCATTAATTACGACTATTAGCGTAACAGAAGTTATGTAAGATGATGCGTTCTCGAGAGAAAAAGAAAGTAAAATGTCGACGAACTCTTCCTATTCGTGTTGTGCTCGTATTAGTTTCTAGCTTCTCCGTTCGTTCTTCCGCATCATTCGATAGCATCTACGAAGATGCTGGCGAGAAACGCGGCGCAACTATCAATTATTCGGATTCCGAGGTGCGCGCATCATCCTCGTCGCGGTCCTTTATCGAGCCTCTCTTTCAAAGTTATCCCCTTTACTTCCTTTTTTTCTCGACGTTCATGGAGCGCGCTCGAACATCGGCTTGCGAAAGGCGAAAGCGATGGACTTTGCGGGGGAGGATCGGCGCGCACGCGGCATGAATACGAATTTATCGTTCCATTAAACCTATGATTTGCGACGACGGTCGGGACGGGATGTCTCGGCCTTAATGGGCTTCTATCGTCGGTACTGCACACGACGGCAATCTCCATGACGGTCCTTGAGAAGATGGCACATACGGGCACTGTCTCGCCAGCCGTCGCCAATACTGGTCCCCGTAGTCTGCGTCAACGAGAAGTTCAAGGATCGATATGAGGCTAGCAAGCGAGCGAGCTGTGTCCTGGACTGGACCACCAGCTAGGTTTGTGTATGTATGGAGAATCAACTACGAACCGGATGTCTCCGCGCGATCGACGTCGAAGATATTCTCTCTCACGATTTGCCTTGTCACGTTTGTGCCTTTCTTTACGCGATTTACGGACGACTAATTAGACAATGTAAAAAATCAGAAAATATCTTCCAATTTGCGTGACAACTTTTATGTTATATCCGTGAAAATTATCGTGTATTCAAAATCGAGAAATTACTTTTCTTGTCTTTTTGTAACGTGCTACTTTTTTTGTCATTTGTGCCACAGTATCGTGCGTTTTACGTGAGGAAGAAATTCTTGGTCAAGTATTTATTATCATTTATTATCATTTATTTTATACCACAAAAATTATCACGCATATATAGAAAGAATTATTTTGCTAAAGTAGTATATTTAAAATTTTAGCTAAATATAGATTTCAAAATAATTTTTAGGCCAAAAATAATTATAAGAAATAATTATAGAAGATTCAAACATTGCTGCAAAAAATTTTAAACATTCTAACAATCAGCTCGAGCATTCTACATAATTATTTTTTGATTCAAACAAAATAATATTTTTAGTTCTATCTAATTTATCTAACTAAATTTTTAAATAATTTAATGAAATATTCTTTATGTGTGCACAGAATTAGAAAAGTATCATTCTTGTTTTTTTTAATCATGCTACTTTTTTGCAATTTTGTTTCGCAGTATCATGCTCTTTGAATAAGGGAAACACTTTCTGGTCAAACACTTTTACTATCAGATATGCTGCGACATTAACGATCGAGTGCGGGAGTGCTTGAAAGCTATCGGGCCGATTGTTACGAGCCGATCTCTCGTGTCATGCACGTCAGGAAAAAGAAAAGCTGCGGCGATCGTTGAACTTTGAACCGTGATGAGTTTTACAAGTCGCGGCGACGACGGCCGGACGTTCCCGCGGGAATAGGTGCATCCGGTTCATCGTCGGTCGTACCGAGATGCCCGGTTGGTGGTCCGTTGTCTCGTCCAAGACACACCGTGCCCACGATACTTCCATATCGTATCTGCCTCCATCGCGAGAGCACATACACACACACACACATGCTCGACGAGGGAGGGAAACATCGACCTCGCGTTGCATCGCCAGAGGGGACAGCATATCCCCTTCAAGGACCATGTATCAAGGACTGCGGTGTACCGTGACTACGGGCCTCCCGAGGGGGTCGAAGGTCTCGAAGCCTTTGACTTGCGAGTTCTGTCTTGTGGGGTACGGTGGAACGAATTCGCGGGAAATCGACGACTCTTCATTAAGGAGAAGAAGCGCGGTACTGCGTTCCCGCGGGAAGCGACGACCGTGCCTTAATTGTGCATCTTTTTTTATATGTCAAGATGACTGTTCTTTGTCTATTTTATATATATAAGAGCTAACGATTATTTTTAATAAAGATTTTACTCTTAAATAAGGATTGACAGGGAATTTATCTTTTTCAGTATCAATTTCTTTTTCTATTACAAAATAGTGATTGCTTTCCTTTTAGAAGATACAAACATCGTTCTTTTTAACATTCAACGAATGACAAAATTAGAACGACGTTTGTGTGGATTGTGTCTTCTAAAAAAAATTTCTAATTTTCCGGCTAGCGTACGTGTAAGAGCTAAATGGCTTTGTACGTTTATCATTCTTGCTTCTTTCCTCGTTTTTCCCCGATTCATCTAAAGGCTATTTGTCGGCGAAGAGCGCAATCGGGCGAAGTTTCCAGGATCCCCGGTAATTTCTCGACCCGCTCGTTTCGCATTAAACCTTCAGCACCGGTACTGAGATTCAGTATCGTAAGCGGCAGTGTATACATTTATTTTCGAAGAAAATGTGTGAGATAAGCGTGATCTCCCGGCGCGACACTTCTCGCCTGTAGATGAGACGTTTTTTCCCCACTTTCTTCTCTCGACCGACTAGTTCCTGACTCGAGTTTGTCCGTGGGATTATCGTGGACCGAGATTTATGGCGCGTTGGGTATCTTACAGTGGGATAACGCGACGACGTGGTCCAGTGCAGGTAATAGCCAAGTGCGATCCTATTACATCTCAAAGCCGGGGAGACTTACTACTTCACTTACCGTCATCGAGCGATAGAACCGAGCAGCGATAGGACGTACGGCAACGATCAATTAGCTCATGACGACACGAAATGTTCATAGGCGTCTATTTTAATTTGAAGAAGACGAAGAAACGTTTAACGGATTAAATTTCTCATGAATTTAGCAAACCTCATTTTCCGCGATTGCATTGCGATTAAAAAATGTTGATAGAATACTTTTTGATAAGACAATTATGCTTTTCAAGCATATATTATGCATCAAGAATTATAATAAAACAGTAAAAGCTGTTGAGAGGTTTATATTCATTCTTTTAATAATAGACGAGAGTACATTTATGTAAGTGCATCTTACTAACGATTATGCCTAGGTTTATTCGAACGAAAGATCTTCTCACGGTGCAAAAAAGATCGCCTCTCGTACGGCGACCTAAGATTTATGTCCGTTACACGTCATCCACAGGCGTTAATCTTGAATTATATTTCCCTGTGAACTCGCGTAATTTTTTTCATTATATTTCTCGCCCGGGGGAGCTTCCGCTAATCGCAATAATATTTTCCACCGCTACGTTGTTTATCTGTTATGGACGAAACGTTACAAAAATTAACACCTACAAGTGAAGCGAAAGATTTAGTGATTTTCAGCAAACTTAAAAGTTTTTACGTTGGAGATATACTAGGAGAACCTAAGTGTAATCGGTACCGTCTATAAATAATGATGCCGGCTAACTCCAGCAATTAGCAGGTAAACAAGATATAGAGATAACGACCAGGTCGGTAATTAATTCTAGCTGATGCAGATAATCATTAGCGCAAAGAAGATGTGGAGACTCCATCTTCTTTATAATCCAAGATACGTAATCATTGTTCTACCGCGTACACAACTTAATTGATTTAGCTAGCATCTTCCACGG